CGCGCCATTGACCGCGGGCAGTATGCTGGAGGACCCAGCGGTCGCCACTGGACACTTGACCCAATTGATGGGACAAAGGGGTTCTTGCGTGGAGAGCAGTTTGCTGTCTGTCTGGCGCTAATTATCGACGGCAAGGTTCGGCTAGGTGTTCTTGGCTGCCCGAACCTGCCCTGGGACATGGCCAAGCCCGATGGCGAGCGTGGTGTTCTGATGGTAGCTGTTGAGGGCCAAGGAGCATTCCAGCGCAAGCTGTCTGTTTCTGGCGAAGCAAACGAGACACCGATACATGCCTCTACACTTACCAGTGCCAGCGATGCCAGCTTTTGCGAGTCCGTCGAGTCTGGACACTCGAACCATGGCGACAATGCCAACATCGCCAAGCTCCTTGGAATCACCAAGCCATCCGTGCGCATGGATAGCCAGTGCAAATATGCAGCAGTTGCACGCGGCGATGCCGACATCTACCTTCGCTTGCCTGTCTCTGGCACATATGTTGAGAAGATTTGGGATCATGGCGCAGGCAACATTGTCATCACTGAGGCTGGAGGCATGGTCTCTGACATCCATGGCAAGCCGCTGGACTTTTCTATCGGCCGCACCCTCAGTGCAAATAAGGGCGTTGTCGCAGCCAATGCCAACATTTTCGACGCAGTCATCAAGGCAGTCCAGGAGACTCTTGCTAGCAAGCTCTAGCTAATGCTAGCATTGGTGTGCGGGCTTCTTTTATTGCTGTTGTGCGAGATTGCAGCTATATCAAATAAAGGCTGTCGCTATATACTGATACAAGCGCTGTACATGTCAAGGCACGCATCATTGACGTGGGAAAGAATATCTGCAAATGCGTCTGTCCATGCACTTCCCCTGCCTTCAACACAATGCCTTAGACATGCCAACGTGCACTGGGCTTTGAGCAAGTCTCGACATCTGACAAGAGACACTGCAAAGCTAGCTATCTCTCCTACGTCTTCTTCATATGGCCCGGTTTCGCTAGACGCCACCCAAGCCTTAATCAAGCGTCGTATATCTGCAATCTCGCTTTTTCCAAGCAGCGCTGGCACCGGTTGCTTCTGATGCCCGTCTTGGTCCTTATCTTCAGTATTTTGGGGGTCCTCCTGATTCGAGGCGCTGGGCAGTGCACCGGCTGCGTTTTCGAGTTTATTTGACGCCTGTGGCTCCTCGCCGTCTGTAGATGGCTTGCTTCTCAAATAGTCTCTTGCAACTTCTCGTCGTATATCAGCCGGTAGGCTTTCCCAAACACTGCCATCTATCTGCGAAGGCATAACTGCATCCAGCGACTCGGCCTTGCGGAACGCCTGCACAAGGTTTAGTGTTCTGCCACCTGCTTTGGCCTTGCTGCCTGTGCCGGATGTGGGAAACAAAAGCTTGCGTGGCCGCCCTCTGCCACTGTGTCCAGCTCCATGGCTTGGCTTTCTGGCTGGCTTCTTTGCTGTGGCTGTAGATTCTGGGGAATGGCTGCTAATGCCGATGTTTATCTTGGGGTCTAGCTGCTGGTAGGCAGCTTGGAGCTCTTGCTGAATTGAGAGCGGCAGCTCGCTGATGACGTTAATATCCAGCTGCGAGGCGGAAGGCAATTCGCTGGCAAGGCCCCTGTTTCCCTTTGAATGAGTAGCACGATCCTGAGCCTTCGGCTTGGACATGATGCTGGCAATATCAGCACCGGCGTGCACGTCATTGAGCTTTTGTATTTGTATCCCAACCGAGCGGATATCCAGTGGATCAACAGACATCTGTCTCAGCAGATCGATGCATGCCGATGCAATTTTGACTGGGTCATCTGTAAGGCGAGAGAGCATCTTAGATTTGGATAGGCTATCGCATATACCGTGCCCAAGGAACTTGCCCGGCCTGCCTTGACCATCTCTGCGCTGCTTGATCTTCAGAGTCACCGACCTACCCGTTCTCTTTGAGGCAGACATTGACCTGCATACCTCTGCAGACAGCCTTCTGATAAAGTCGTCAGCCTCATCCTGATCAGAGAACCGTACCCCCCATCCGATATCAGCACCAAATGCCTGTCGGGGCCTATCTGACTCGAGCACACGGTCATCTATGCCTCGACTCAAGCTGTAGATTTTGCTTCCGACCTTTTCACCACAGATGCTTTGAAGCTGCTGCAGTGATGCCGAGCGTATATCAGCGACCGTTTTGATCCCTCGGTCAGAGAAGCTGTTTTCAATCATATAGCCAATCCCAGGAAGGTCGGTTAATTTCATATCCAGCGCCAAAAATCGATCGACGTCTAACGCGTATACACCATCTGGCTTTGCCTTTGTAGTAGCTACTCTGGCTAAAAGGATGCTTGGACCAATTCCGATACTTACGGTGCACTGCGTTCTCTCTAAAATCACGCGACGGATGTGCTCCGCCAGCTGCTCGGGACTGCCCGCATAACCTCTGCTGACAACCCCAGTGACATCTAAAAGCGCTTCGTCGATACTGACAGCCTGTGTCTCATCTGCAATCTGAGTCACTGTTTCGTAAAATGTACGTGATATGCGCTTGTAGTCATCAAAACAGTAGGGCACGGTCATTAATGAAGGGCAAAGCTTGCGCGCTGAGTCCATAAACATGCCGTTCTTGACCCCAAATGACCGTGCAATATAGTTGCACGATGCTATCTGGCTTGTTCCGCCTGGTCTACTGAGTGTGTTATCAGACGCCAAGTTGTCTGGATCAACCAGATCCTCGCCCATCTGCTGCTGTGAATGACAAACCGCAACAGGCCTGTCCTTCAAATAAGGGTGGGACAAAAGGCTGGCAGATACAAAGAAGCAATCAAAGTCGACATGCATAATAATCCTGTGCTTGGACACGGGGCCCTCTTTTGCAATGGATTGCTTGTACTTCTGACGTAGTTCCGCAACATAGTCCTTCATGTCAGCCTTCCATACAGACAAATGGTGTAGGCGCGAATTGGCATAGTATCTGGATATAAAATCTTTATCAGTTGCGAGATTTTTCCTCACCCAATCTCTGTTCAGTCCCTCACCAAACCTGTCCACAATCAGTCTTGCCTTTGGCTGCGTCGAAGACGGCAGTGGAGGCAGTGGAGGCAGCTGCTGAGGTTGTGTGTGGTTCAGCGACTCTGCATCCAAGTAGCCCTGGCTTGCATCCACCAGAACGCCTTTGTTTCCCCGTCCCACTAGCTTGTACCTGTGCCACGAGAGTTGCTTTCCAGCTCTGATGCTATCGACGACCCACTCGGGGCGAACAACTCTGTAGCTGCTGAATTCCTTTTCTTTTGCCATCGTTAAACTCGATGCAATTATATGCGTAACCTGTGTCTTTGATATATAGTGAAGGAACTTTCCGCCGCGATTCAAGAGCATGCGCTTCAATTCGTAATGCGATGGCTGCGTATAGCCATTGATGTGGAATGTAACGCCACGAAATATAGCATCAAAACAGTGCGTCTTGTTTGCGCTTTGCTCAGCTTGCTCAGCCAGCTTGCGCTTTCTTTCGCTGGAGTACGCACGGAACTCTCCAAACCCAGGCACAACTGTCTGCTGAGCACTCTCTTTGTTCAGAAGCACCAGCTGCTGCTCCTCATCTTCGCCTTCTGCATTTTGAAAGCTGCGCAAGTTCACTACATCTGCCAGGTCTAGCTGATACTCTTTGCGCTCATCGCTGCTGTTCTCGTTGTCTACGTCGCCTATATGGTTCATTGCTGGTATAGGCTGTTATGTAACAAGATAGGCAAACAAAGCAGGCGATACAAAAGAACCAGATGGCCGCTTTGCAAACGGAACAGAAAAAAAGCATGCTATTGATGGCTGCGGACAGATATATGAATGTCCAAAGCCACGTGTATGGGATGAAATGAGCAAGCCTACGCTGATTTGGACATTGCTGTAAAATGGTCCCACTGCTTCTGAGCCACCTCGGATTCTTTCTGGATCTCACCAAGGGCCTCTCTTGTGCGCTCTACATCCCTCTGTACAGTCTCTAGCCGATCCCTCTCGATGCCAAGCTGGTTCTTTTCTTGAGCAAGCAAAAAGTTCAGGAAAGAGCCATCAAACTCGAAGCCGCCTCTATCAACTGGCAGTCTTGTGCTTCTGGCATCTGCGCTATGAGGTTTTAAGGGTGCAACCCCGGCATTGCGCAGCTGCTCGTTCTCCCAATCGCTGGATTCGTCTTCTTCTTGCGCCTGCCCAACAGCCTCCTCCTTGGCTCTGCGTGAACTGGACGCGTATTCTTGGCGGTCATTTTTGCCAATTATCACTGCATCCTCTTCATCTTCGCCCTCGGTAGCACCATCGTCCATAAAGTCCCGAAGCTCTGAGCTGGCAATTTTTGAATTTGCTAGATCATCTGTCAGCGATATAAACTCTTCGTCGTCGTTGTGCATTGCGATTGTATCCACGCTATCGTCGACATCCTCCATCCGCAGTTCAGCCTGGCGCTGCCTTCTGAGCTTTTTTGCCATATATATTTCATGAGCATTGGGGATTCCTTCGTTGGAGAATGGGTAAAGCGCTGCCTTTTCTGTTTCCTTTTTCAGCGATTGTATATCGCCAGCTGTATATTTTGTTTGTTCTGTATCCTGTGCTCTTTGCTCAGCAATCAGCCCTTTGATTTTTGCACTAGCCCGGCTCTTCTTCACTTCTATAAACTCGCCGGCGCTTTGGTCCACGCCAAAGCTCAATCCAGGTGAATTGGTCACCGCTGACTCTTGCTTTGCTGACGGTTTGGATGATCGCTTAACAATGTCTGCCGCGTGATCCTCTGCCGCTACTTCCGGTGTAGCGCCTTCATCCTTCCTCCGGATATTCTTACGACCCTTTGACTTTTTAAACCCAAACATGGCGGATTCAGGAGACACTGCGTGCGACTTTGCGATAGCAAAAGAAAGAACAACAAACGCTGCAGGGGCTAGTGGGCGAAAGGCGGGAATAGAAAATCGACAGCGGTCGCCGCGCAATTTCGTCTTGGTTACGGGACAGCAAAAGGCCGCAGCAAAAAGAGGACAAAATATCAGCAGGGACCTACCGGATTTGAACCGGTGACCTATCGGACTGCAGCCGATTGCTCTACCCCTGAGCTAAAGTCCCAATCCGCTGGGGGAAATCTGAGCTCAAAAATTTTTGTGGCTACTTGACTCTATATTTTGCGCAGTAACAACATCCCTGGCTCGCAGCTGCATTTTTTACACTGGGAAAGGGTGAACTGCCAGTGGTTCACATACCATCCTGGCGAAGAGGACAATCCGGACAATATCGTCTTCAAACACATCACACCCTACCCTTCCGCT